AGGGCGAGATCTCGCTCTCGGTCGCGGGGGCTATGTTCAGAGGAAGCACGGCTACGTAACTTGGATGGCATACGAATTTTCGGTTGTGCGAGAGGGGGCTGTTGACCATGTGTCTCTGCAGTAGCAAAACCAAGGCAACCGTGGGTTTTTCGGTGATACTGCAACTACGGGTGCACCGAAGCTGACTGGATGCTCATCTGCACATAAAGAGTTTGTTTGCGATTGGCATAAAGAACGATTTTTAGGATGTGGATTGCGGGTGTTGTTACCCTTGAGGTCAGGCTACGGTGGCTTTTTCGAGCCATTCAGCTCAACGAATTCTACGTGAAATTTACAGTGGAGTGCCTCGGCTGATCATTCCATCATGCCTAATACGAATCGAACACGTCCGTTACAACATATTCGCAAACCTAGAAGCTGGCGGCTTCTGCCGGAGTTCGACAAGCAAAAGACCTTCTTCAAGACGGATGCACATGCCCTCTGGCTACTGCTCTGGCTGGCTTTTCCGAAGGACACGAAGAGCGAAGCTTCCAAAGGTTTCTGGGGTCGTTTGTTATGTGTGATCCCGGTCGTCTTTTTTGCAAGTAGCACTATCAGAAATAAATGAGATAGTATGGGTTGCTTCGGGAACATAGTTTGCAGGTGGTATTCAACAATCGCTGAGATTCCGGAAGGTTGGGTGGGACTCCCTTTGCGTGTTTCTGAGAAAGATGGGACCGCGTTGGACGAGGTTCGTGACACTGCTATAACCTGGCCGTGGGATGTGCTGAACTGGCTACATCGTAATGACAAGCTTTTTCATTGGGCATGTAACGATCCCAACCCTGAGAAGGTCCAGGAAATGAACAATGAGTATTGGACTCGGCTGGGTCATGAAGAATCCGTAAAGCTTCTAGACCTGAAGGACCCTGCGAGGACATTTCCAATTTTTTGGCACGCCGATGGTGTGCGAGTCTACAAACATCAGAAGTGCTGGGTATATTCGTATTCCTGTGCATTGAAGAAAGGCCCTTCCTTGTCCTCCAAGCTCCTGCTTTTGCTTGTGCGAGAAACACTTGTCGTGAAACCGTCGACGCACGACCGGATCGGGGAGGTGGTGGGTTGGATACAACGTGTTCTTCAGACTGGGAAATATCCGGACAAAGACATCAATGGCCAATCCTGGCCAGTCGGTTCTCGAGAAGAACGGCTTGCCAACCTTGAGTTTGCTGGGGGTTACAAGTGTGCCTTCAGCGCGTTCAAAGGAGATTGGGAAGCACGCGTGTTGATACACAAATTGCAGCGGAGCTACAACCACATTAACATTTGTGAGCATTGTCCTGCGTGCAAGTCAAACAACGCCTTCAACTATCGCAATTTCTCGCCCGACGCAGCTTACTTGGATGTGAGTTTCACGCATGCGCAGTACCTTGTCATGACCCCGCCGGAGTTCCATTCGAGCTGGTTGAACGTTCCCGGTTGGACGAAGGACAGAAACCTGGAGGAGCCGGTAAGGCTTGTATGATCGTGTGATGTCAAAGAAGCTTTGTGATGTATGTTCCCGGGCTTTTGTTTCGATATTAGTCTTTGTTCGTTGCGTTTTTCAAACCAAACTGAACACCAGAAGGATCTTCTACATGTTTTGCATCAGGGTGTGGCCTGCTTCGTGGTACCAGGGCTGGTGTGTGCACATGTCGAAGCAAAGCTCGGGGACGGCATTAGGCTACAAGACTTGGGCTTCGAGCTGGAGAACCGTGTCTGGAAACACTACAAAGCTTGGTGCCGCAGGACCAAGGTGGCTGGTTGTGGTCACCGTTTCAACTTGACGCGGTTTGGGCGCGAACAATGGGGATACTATCCGGAGTTGCATTCATGCTACAAAGCTTATACCGTGAAGATGCTGATATACTGGGTGTATGCTTTTCTTTGCGATGAAGACCGAAATGTACCCAACAGCGGCAACCGACTGAGGTTGTCCTATGCACTGGCAAAGACGCAATGGCTCTTCGATCGAAGTGGTCCGTTTTTGACCAGGCAGGTGAAGGATGAGGCTGTGTACTTGGGACTGTCTTTTCTTTTGCTGTACCAATTTTTGGCCGTGGAAAATATTCCGCAACATAAAAGAAACTGGAAGATCGTGCCAAAGTTTCACAGCTTCCTTCACCTGCTGCAGTACGTGAAACGAACTTCCCGAAACCCGAGGCTCGCTGAAATAGCAAGTGGGGTTAAGCCTTCAAATTTTCAGGAATTTTCGAGTGGGTAAGCGCGACAGGGTTGGGGGGTTGTCGTTGAACATAACGTAGTCGGTATTGCGACACCAATAGGAGAAATCTAGCAATCAACTCGAGGGGAAAATCGCTTATCTTCATCCCTGGTCGCAGGTGGGAGCACTGCTATCAAGACGAGGACTTGATGAAGCAGATCGGCAACATTGCATCTTCGACACATCCGTTCACTATGGATAAAGTCACGTGCAACCGCTACAGAGCGCTGCTGGAGTTCGGAGACGTTTTCTGAGTGCTCACGCAAAAAAACGAGGACGACAGTGACTCACGATTATAGGTGCTCAACATTGGCCCGTGATTTCTTCTACACATAGTAACATAGTAGAGCAAGTTTCCAAGTGGTATGTCCGGCAGCTCTTAAAGCAACTCGTCTGCGTCGAGGGGTTTCGAAAGGCTTCGGGCTCGGAGTTGTTTCGTGGGATGTGCGTTAGAGGCCCTGGAGCTAGTGTCAAACATTGGTGAAAAAAACAGCTACCCAAACACGAGAAACCCCACAAGTAACCCCAAAGACTTTACGCTGCTCGTGATTTCATGAGTTTGGGGATTTCAGTGCTCCATACTTGACTCCTGATCCCTGAAGCAGCAAGCTACTGCTACGAGTTTGAGCGAGGCATGGGGATACCCGAATTCGAGAACTAGACCAAAGTTTGAGATGTATATTCAGGGAGGCAATTTTTAACTGGCATAGAGTTTGGCTTGGTGCTGTTTATCGACCTCCACAAAAGCATCAGCCCGAATTACACTACCTGAACATACCGCCCGGACGACGCGTAGATTTGCAAACTTATATCGCACTTCGTCCCAATATGAAGCTTTAATTGGCCCCAACCCTGAAAACCCAAAACCCGGCCACCCCAGCCTAAAGCGCTGAACTCTAAACCGTTCCCTGCACCAGAACTCGAGGAAGCTAGGCCCTAAACTCAAAACCACTCACTGTCTAGAGCAAAAACAGTTGTAAATTAAACTTGGAACACGGACCTAACCGCCTCGAACCCTGACTCCAACAGGACAAGCCCAAATGCCCTGACCAGAACACTGAAGGGATACACCGCTCAATCCCAGCACTTAAGTGGTACAACCGTCGAACTTGCAAGGCTCACCACAGTAAGGCCGACTGCTAAAGTCGAAACTCTAAACCTTGAACAATTGCCCGACCCAAACCTTACACCCCTTGACTCTAAACCCTAAGAGTTCTGTACCCTAAGCCCTTAAACCCGAACCCTAAGACTGACTCGAACGGCTCAAACTCGAGTGTGGTCTATGAAAAATATTCGACCAACCTTTCTTCAGGAATATAAGACATATATCTTAGATTCCTGAAGAAATTGCAATGTCAGCTATCGCGCTCCGGACGTATGATAGTTGCAAGGTTTGCTCTCTTGCCTCCCAAAGTACAATCGCTCTGCACTGCACCATCTATTCGAGAAGAATAGACGCCATGACCACATCAACATTGGTAGCTGAGCATGCACATCTCGGTTCGATCTTAACCGAATTACAGGCAATCCCCTTAGGGAGAGTAATGGAGAAACTGCTGGCTGAAATTCATTGTCTTTTGAAATATTAACGCTTACTCGTCTGAGCGAGCGTGAAAGG